GTGAACACGGGATGAGTGCCGGGGACAGTCCCTCTTTTGGAAGTGCCAGGCTTGAGTCACAGCACACCTTTTCTCTGCCTGCCTTCTGCCCAACTCCTGATTCACCTCCCAGGCCCTGTTGAGTCCCAAGCCTTCCTGAACCCCAACAATCTCCCCACACTCTAGAACCTTTTTCGTTCATGTTGCGGCCCTGGCAGTAGTTTAGATGTTCCTCTTTGGCCAGTGACCCTCCAAGACTAGTCACCCCTTCAGAGGCTGGTTCCAGCCTGACCCTGACACTCTCTGGAGGCTGCGTTCCCCATTATTCCTGCTGCTCCCTGTTTCCAAGGGCTGCCCTAGCTCCCCAATCCTTGCCTTATTTCCAATGGGATCTCTGAAAGGATTCAAGCTCCACCTCACACTCTTATTCCCTAATCTCTTCCAATAAGCTCATTCCCTGCTGTATGTCATAGGAGTTGAAGGAATGTTTTTCAAAAAAAAATTCCTGACCAGGTGGAGAATCACTAATTTCACTCATTTCCTCAGTTTCTTGTCTAATTCTCAGCCCCCTTTTTCTGGTTTTCTACTCAGCTTCCTGTGAACTGTACATTCTAAATATGGCCAAGGTGAACTCTAAGGTTAGACAGTTTAGTCCCTTATGACAATGACTCATAATTCGCAGACATGTGTGGCAAAGGTGAGTGTCAATATTTTTGAGGTAAGCAACTAAGTTGCTAGAATCATTTTGATCCTCCGTATAAGATGGGAGAGGATCCATCTGTTAATTAGAAGAAGTTAAAAAGTTTATAACTAGTAAGGGTGATTAGAAGCCCTAAATTCAGCAAATGTTCAGCAAAATATTTAGTGTTTACTAGGTATCTAGTATCATGCTAGTGATGAACTAAATAGTCACTCTCACCACCCTCATGGAGACTATACTCTAGTGAGGAAAATGGTCAATTCATATGCAAATTAACAAATAGATTTACAGTTAGACATTGTATAAGTGCTATAAAGAAGTTACTAACCATCAATGCTGGATGAAGGAAGAAGAGATGCAAATATCCAAGCATTATCAGGAAACTTCTTGCCGAATTGAAAACTTGCAAGATACAAAAACTCATCACTGAATCTGGTGGTCAGACAAGATGACTTATCTCGAGAGTGTATGATTTGGCAAAGTCCTGGCTTTTGCAGTCATATCTTACCACCTCTCATAGCTCACACAGACTTCTACCTTAGACTCAATCAACACAACGTCTTGTGATAGTGCCAGTTACCAAGCAGCCAAAGGCATTTCTTTCTGGGCCCAACCTTTGATTCTGGCATGGCAGAACCAACCAGAACTGTGTGGACATTTTGAAGTATAAATTGGCCATCCTCCACATCACAGCTTTCCCAGGTCACAGGAGAAAGTTGAAATCGTCTGGTGAAATTCTTCATGCACAGGCAAGACAGCTTGTTCTTCTTGCCTCCATAATGTCCTCCAACCCTATCCCCCACCCTGCAACACACACACACACACACACACACACACACACACAAAAAAAAACTTATCAGGGAAGCCTAAAATACAAATGTATTACAAATGTGAGCTCTGCTTAAGATACTGCATCTTCAGTTCTATGTCGCTGATGTGCATTCAAAGCTTAACAGAAGCCCTTGGTTAAGGTTCAGTGAGCCAGGGAGATCTACATAGGCTCTATCACCCTTGTGATCTCAGAAGAGCAATTGTTAAGTGGATGTAGACAGGGTTCTAGTACCAATTTATCTCTCATTTATGCTCAGGGCAAATGTTGTTTCCTTTGCCAACCAGTGGCTTTTTTATACATCTCCATGAATGAGGATAGCTCAATTTATCTTAAATCAAGCTCATCAGCAGAAATGACTTTCTAACCCACATTTTCTCTAAACCTCTTTTTCTTGAATCAATCCTTCCTTCCTTCCTTCCTTTTTTAGAGACAGAGTCTCACTTTGTTTCCCAGACTGGAGTGCAGTGGTTCAATCATAGCTCACTGTAGCCTTGAACTCCTAGGATCAAGCAATCTTCCTGTCACAGCCTCTCAAGTAGCTTGAGTAGCTAGGACTACAGGCACACGCCACCATGCCTGCTAATTTTTGTAGTTTTTGTACACATAGAGTCCTGCTATGTTGCCCAGGTGGCCTTGAACGCCTGGCCTCAAGTGATCCTCTCACATCAGCCTCCTAAAGCACTGGAACTGCTTAATTTCTTTACAGCACTTATACAATGTCTAACTGTAAATCTATGTGGTAATTTGCATATGAATTGACCATTTCCTCACTATAGTCTCCATGAGGGTGGTAAGAGTGACTATTTAGTTCATCACTAGCATGATACTAGATACCTAGTAAACACTAAATATTTTGCTGAACATTTGCTGAATTTAGGGCTTCTAATCACCCTTACTAGTTATAAACTTTTTAACAATTCTAACTTTCAATATAATTGACTTATTTCAGCCCAGAGAGAAGAAGGAATACTTTGCAAGGCTATTAGACCAGGGGATCCACTTCCTGGTACATTTATCACACAATTATATTTAACAATTATATTTATAAGCAATGTAAACAATCATATTTAAGATATATGTGTTTGCCCAAGAGATGTATAAGGATTGTTCAGTAATGAAGGAGGGACACAAAGTAAAAGAAGAGCAGTCCCGCCCTCAAGGAGCTTATAATTTAGTGAAGGAGACAGATGCATGTTGTAGAAATTCATGAAGGTGGGCCGGGCGCGGTGGCTCAAGCCTGTAATCCCAGCACTTTGGGAGGTCGAGACGGGCGGATCATGAGGTCAGGAGATCGAGACCATCCTGGCTAACACGGTGAAACCCCGTCTCTACTAAAAAATATAAAAAACTAGCCGGGCGCAGTGGCGGGCGCCTGTAGTTCCAGCTACTCGGGAGGCTGAGGCAGGAGAATGGCGTGAACCCGGGAGGCGGAGCTTGCAGTGAGCTGAGATCCGGCCACTGCACTCCAGCCTGGGCGGCAGAGCAAGACTCCGTCTCAAAAAAAAAAAAAAAAAAAAAAGAAATTCATGAAGGTAAAATAAGATAGTGCATCAGGGCATTGTTGTGGGAGAACAAGCCAAACTTGGAGAAGGGGGAATCTGTGAGGGCTTCATTCAGGAAGCTGGTTTTGGAGTGACACTTGAAGATAGAAAGGATTCAACACACAACAAGGAGGTGAGGGAAAGAAAGAGGGGGCAGAAAATGTCAGGGATGGATAGCATAAGCCAAAAAGGCAGGCACTGATGTTGAAACATTTGTTAATGAACAAAGTGGTCTTCTCCATTATGGTCTGAAATGTATCAATCAGCAAATACACAACCTCCACCTAGACTTTGACTATCTACTCCTCCTTTTTCAGAGATGTCCTCAATCCTCTTAACCTTTGAGGGGAAGGGAGATTTCAGTAAGAAATATACTTGCAATTCTCTTTTATTGGTTCAGTTTTAGGTCACAGGCCACCTACTTTAAATGTAGAAGCTTAGCTTTCCCTTTTGTAGATTTGAAAACAGCTTTTCATTCTTCTTCTCACAAACCCTCATGCATATTTTCTGAACCACATTCCCTCCTAGTGTCTATTATGTATTTAGAAAATGAAGCAAATTTTCACCTTAGTAGAAGACACACATAATTAGCAAGGCCTATCTGTCCTCAGAGGCACCCGTGGTTTGGACATGGCTTGATTCTCTTTTGATCCTCTCCATCATCAAAATTTGAGGCTCTTAGATGGAGGACCTCTCACCTATCTTCCTGAGAAACTTACATAGAGCTGAGCCCTTTTAAATGCTCACAATACCCTCAGCCCTTGGCAGGCACTTTATCCATCTCCAGTGTGTAAAGGAAAACCTTCCCTTTAATATTTAGAAACAGAATTTGAGTTGAAAACTTAGCTGAAAGCTCAGGTACTTTGAGTCTTCTTTCAGAACAAAAGAGATATAAGTAAACAAGTATAGTTGAAACTTTATTCAGAAATAGAAATTCTTAAGAAGGAATCATATAAGCTGACAGAAAATATACTTTGCAATACTCTGGTTTCCTGAGCAAAGAGCTAACTCACCAAAGAATATAGAACTTACCATTTTTCAGCCAACAAGAAATTATACTTTTGTCCACACACTTCTGATTTTTTGACCACACTTATTGGAAAAATTGATCCGAAGTAAAACAGTGAAATTGAGTAATTTTTGTTCTTTGGAGCCTTATATTTTCTACTAAAGCCCTGGGCATTACCTCTCCTCATCTTTCTGTCTATCCTGTTCCCTAACAAGTCTTACTCTCCCTATGTCCCAGTTTCTCTCAGCATCATATCACATGCAGCTAAAATAATTCCTATTCCTAAGTACCCCTTCGAGCTCTAAGAAATCTCTCACCCGCCTTGAAAATTTTCCATTATTTGTGCCAAAAAGTAATTCTCCTTCTCACTCTAATAGGTAGTTGCCACTTTTATGTCACAGCATTTCAGGTTTTGATTATAGTTATTAATTTAGCTCCTCCCTCTTCATAACAAATTATAGGCAGCCTGGACAGGAACTATGTCTAATTCATGTCAGTTTCTCCCACTGTTTTTAGCAAGATTGCTCTCTAGATGCGTCTTTGAAAGAATAAATGATGTTGTGGACAGCTGGGTTTGCCTGGCTCCCAGACTTCCATGTCTGTCTGCCTTCCTTAAAGTCTACCACTTCCATTTCAAGATCCAAGTCATTCTGAAAAGTTGACTCTGTCTTAGCTCCAAGGATGGGATTCTTGACTTGGGCTATGTTAAATGGAGCAGTGCATTTCACCCCCGCCTCACCCCTAATCACAATTACTAGTTCGGGCTGCACATAAGGCTTATGGTGGTTTAATCAGAATGAATTTCAGGACTCGTTTCAGGAAGCGTGGACAAAGGCAAATTTTCTTGTTTTAGGTAGTGAAATGTGTGTATCGGCAACCTACAAATGCTGCCACCATTTTGTTAACATAACAGAGGTCAATATTTAAACTAATACTCACCTCCTGATGCTAATACCTGCTGGCCACAGACTTTTAGGGATCTGGTAGAAGAACTATGTTTTCATATGCAAGGAAACAAACAAAATTTCCTATCAAATTTTGAACCCATCAAAGCCTGATAACCAAAAAAGCTAAATTAGAGATCTATGCAGTTTGCATTATCAAATGCCATTTTTTCTTCAGCTGTAATATGGAACTAACATTGCAATAAACTATGTAAAGCACCCAGCATAAGATTGGATGCCGAACAACCACTCCATAAATATCATTTGTTTCCTTTTATTTTCCTCCTCATCTAACGGGGTTTTCTTTTTAAGGAGGAAAAAAACCCCACTATTTAAAGGAGAAAATAGACTAGGCACAGTGGTTCACATCTGTAATCCCTGCACTTTGGGAGACCAAGGTGGGAGGACTGCCTAAGGCCAGGAGTTCCAGACTGGCCTGGGCAACATAGTGAGATCTGTCGGGCTGCTGTGACGGTTTCAAGGAGCTAACTTGTCTATCCAAAGCATCTAAGAGGTCACATATTAGCTTAGAGGTCATATACACTCCAATGTTCTCTTCAATTTAGGAAATTTCTTTAGCATCTGAAAATTTCCAAGGTCAAAATCTTCACACTCTGTTTTGAGAGGCAGTCTGTGGTGTTGTTAAAAATAGTTGCTGGAAAGTCCTTTATCATATTGTGCAGAAATCTGCCTTCCTAGAAAAACCGTGTTGTAGCATTGCAATGTAATTGTTTTTCCTCTCTAGTTGGTATTTCCTTGTCAACTGAATATTCCTATTTTCTCTCTTTGCTCCCAACCTCCATCTTCCTCTGTGTCCTGTCATCCTTTTTTTTTCAGGCAAGTAACTAAAGTTTCCAGTGTAGTATATGATCATAAGCGTTGGCTCTAAAATCTGCCAGCATTTCTAGTCTAAAATCTTGCCTTTATTATTTACTAGCTGGGCCATCTTGGGCAATTTACTTAATATCTCCATAATTTATTTTCCATATCTGTAAATTGGGATGATTATAATGTTACCTGTTTCATAAAGTTTTTGCACTGTTTCACAAGCATGTGAATAATCTATATAAAATACATCATAAGACTTGGCATAGAGAGTACATTTGATAAATGCTTATTGTTGATGAGAGTGATAAAGATAGTATGGTTTCAATACCTTCCTCAGAGGGCCAGGATATTTGGACACTGTAGTTCATCAATGACCTTCATAAATTATAATGCCACACCTAGAGTCATAAAAATGTTATAATCAGGGAAGCTCAAAGTACAGTGGGATATATACCACTTGATTTGAATATTAGCTATCTGAAATTGAGCAAGGTATTTGACCTCTCCAAGCCTACATTGATAAAATGGGGATAATGGTAATAACGTTATCTACTTGTAAGGTACAAACTACATTCAAATCACCATTCTCAGCACTAAATTTTAAAATACTTAGAATTGTCTTGTCAAGAAGTAAACACTCTATTATCATGTAGAAGTTCTGGGAGGTTCAGGATACAGATGGCTGCCTCTAGGGTGACTTTTTTCTCACGGGCACTGTACCTGAGGTTACCCTGCCCCTGAGGAATCCCAAAGGCTCTGACCACAGCTCTGTTTGGCTCCACCACCACACACTTTTTAACAGGAAGGAGGTAAAGGGAAGGAGAAGAGGGTCAGGGAAGCACTGGAGGGAAAGAGAAAGAGGAAGGGGCAGTGGGAGTGGAACAGAAGAAAACATACCAGGTGGGTGGGTGGTTGCTCTCAGGAGGGAGAAGAGGGAAAACCACCGACTTAAGAAGGGGCAGCTCTTCTTTTCCTGTGTCCATGACCAGGCTATTTGTAAGGGTCTCTAGTCAATCATTACGATTTATATGAAAAGAAAATGTATGTGAAAAACATCCTACAAAATTCACACTGTCACTTGCATATAGAGAGGCAATGGTATGGAGAACAAAGGATGTGAACTTTGGTATCAACACATTTTCCTTTTGTATAGTCACATTTTCATGACACCCATCATGAAACCTCTCCATTTGAGTACCAGGTTCACCTGAGCCTCTGCCAAGTGTGGCCTTTAATTTGTTTGGCTAGAATCCTCTTAAAAATTATTTTTGCCGCTGATTTGTGAATTCTTTAATGCTGCCAGAAGAGTGGAAGGAACTCTGGTAGGGAGTCGGGGGAGATAGTTCCACTTCCTCCTGGTACTTACAGAAATCTGGAGGGTTGAAAAAAGTTCTCTTCACTGGGAATGTTAAACCTCAAGCCTTCTTCTTGAATCTAGATAAATGCTTTTACAAATATTTTGCTGTTTAAAGTTTACTAATACAACAGAGTACATCAGTGCTCTGAATTTTGGAAGTTCATCTATCCCAAACCAATGGTTCTTAATCTGGTTTTTAAATGCTCTCCAAGTATTTCTCAATCTATTGACAGACTTGCACCATCTTGTCCCTTCTGTGCATCCGTAGAGTCCCTGGCCACAAAGGTTAGCGTTAGACGCCATGAATAATAAGAGCTGATACTGTGACAGCTGTAGGTAGAACTAAAGAGAAGCCATTATTTGTGTATGTGTGTAAACACTATGCAGGCCAGAGAGCTTCTGGAGAAAGGAGACCTGTAGTTCACCAGTGGGTCTCAGGCTTCTTCTAAACCACCCACATTGGAGCAAAGCAGCTGCCCTCTTTAGTGGTAGTTTCTAAAGATTCTTGCATTTCCTGATTTCTGGAACAGCAGCAGCAGCTTTTTCTGGTCTCTTTTCTCTCTCAGCCCTTTCAATGCTGTTGCAGCCTCTGATTCCCTACACTAGACCCCTTTCCTGTTTGAAATACCTGGAATGGTTTCAGTTTTCTCATGACATCCAGATTGATGCACCAACTCTGGCTGCACTATAGAATTGGCTGGGAAGCTTTTGCAAAAGAGTGACACGTGGTTCTCACTTCTGGGAATACCGTATAGGTGTCTATATTTTTTATTGCTCTCCAGATATTTTCAGTGGGCATCCCAGGATGAAAACCATTTTCTCAATTGCAAATTTGAATTTTCAACCTCAGGCTTTGGTATCTTTTCTCTCAGACCCCCATCTCATTGTCACTTCAAATCAGGTTTACCAAGTCACAGAACTCACTTTATTTCTTGCCCTCAATATGTTTTCTCAACATATTGAGAAGCGGCCAGCAAGCAATTTCCAATGTAAAAACCCTAGATTTGCAGACATACTTTCCTTCAGACAACTAGCCTAGGCCAGAATCCAACTGATATATCACAGTCCCCAGCATTTCCTTTCTCTACTGTGGTCATAGAAATAATATTATAAATGGAGAATACATTCTTTAGATGGATTTATGCTGTGATGTAAATAATTTATCAGCGATATGGGTTTTACCATTTAGTCTGGTGATCAAACCAACATTTAGAGTATTATTTTCTATGGAAAAATATTCTTCAAAAGAGCAAACACCTGAATTGTGGACTGCCCATCTGAAGTCAATAAAAATTCCTAAAGTTGCAGATTGAGGCCTGTATTCTCTTCAGAGTTTTAATAGAATGTTTTAAATTTAACATATTTTAATTGTCTTCAATGTCAAAGTAAGCTTTCCTTGGGTTTTTAGAGAAATATCTAAATAATACCAGGGTTACATTCAACTATACATATAATTATTCATTTAATAAGTATTATTAGAGTGGCTATTGCATACCAAGTATTGGGCTTGTCACTGAGAATACAGCAATAACTCTGATGTGGAATTTGAGGCAGAGTCAGTAAGTGTTGACCTCAGTTCACAGTGGAAAGTACCCTAAAATGCCAAAAATAATTTTTAAACATCTTTTAAAAATTCATGGATGAGTTAAAAATAAGTATAAAGTCTTAGTAGAAAAGAATAATTTAGTAATACATAAATCAAGAAAGGTAAGCTAGTAAGTGAGTACTAAAAGCAGAGGCAGCTCTGAAGTTATTCATCAATGCTGGAGACTTAGATCTTTCCTGTTAACAGACCCATATACACAGGACAACAGGGACAAAGCCTGGGCCCCGTATAAGGTGTAAAGTCAGATTGGACTCAACCACACTAATATGGTTTAGCTGTGTCCCCATTCAAATCTCATTTTGAACTGTAATCCCCACAATCCCCATGTGTCATGGGAGGAACTCAGTGGGAGGTAATTGAATCATGGGGGCGATTTCCCCCATGCTGTTCCCATGATAGTGAGCGAGTTCTCACAAGATCTGATGGTTTTATAAGCAACTGGCATTTCCCCTACTGGGTCCTCATTCTCTCTCCTGCCACCCTGTGAAGAGATGCCTTCTGCCACGATTGTAAGTCTCCTGGGGCCTCCCCAGCCATGCGGAACTGTGAGTCAATTAAACTTCTTTCCTTTATAAATTAACCAGTTTTGGGTATTTCTTCATAGCAGTATGAGAACAGACTAATACACACGCAAAGCTACAACCTAAGACAAGGAAAACACTCGGGAAAAAAATCCACTCCAGGGAAAGACACAGTCTACTTACTTGTCCTAGTTTTAGCTTTGGGTGGAAAAGAAAAAATATATTCTCCCCACAAAAATTCATAATCATAAGACCCCCTTGTCAGAGTTTGGACAAAGGAATCTATACTATCACTGGGTCTCAAAAAATCCCATGTTGAAAATTTAGTTTGAAATGGCCCAGAGTTTCTGGGTATCTGGCAGAAGGTAACTGGCAAAAGCAAATGTCAATGTAAATATACATATATAAAATAATGTAATATATTAAAAGGAAACGATCTTCAAAAATGAATAGGCATTTTGAAAAATAACCAAAAAATTACTTTTGGAAAATTGTATTTTTGAAAGTGAAAAATATACTAATAGAACTAGAAAGAGAAAATAAAAATTGGTGAACCATATAATAGACATGAAAACAATTGTTCAGAGTGCAACACAAAAACTAAATAAGAGTACACTGTTCAAGCTTCTTAGCACTTTACACATATTTCATCTTGCAATCCTTACAACAATCCTATGAAGTAGATACTATTACTTCCTCCACTTTAGAACTGAGTGAACCGAGGCACAGAAAGCTTAAGAAACTTGCTCAAATTTATATGCCTACTAAGAGTTAAAGGCATCATTTCAACCTAGAGAGTTTGGACTCAGTTCTGTTTCTTAGCAACTATGCTATGTTTCTGTAAGAAAACTGAAAATTACAAAAAGGAAGTCACATGGAGGTTAAATTTGTTCCAGAGTAGAAGATAAAGAGAGCAAAGTAAAGGCAATTTTTTCGAGAGATAATAGCTGAGAAATTTCCAGAGTTGATGAAAAACATCAATCATCAGATTCAGTAAGGTCAAAAGTTTTTAAGCAGGGTGAATAAAAAGAAATCATACTTAGACACAGCATAGTGAAACCACATAATACTAAGGAAAAAGAAGCTGATATTAAAGGCAGCCAGTTAGAGAAGACAGACCACTGAAAAAAATCCTCTACACAGTCAAGTGGCTTCTTAAAAGTGGCAGTGGAAGCAGGAAGACAGTTGACTATTATCTTTAAAAAATGAGTGAAAATAATAATCAACCTACAATGTGAACCCAGTAAAATTGTTTCAGGAATGTGAGCAAAATAAAGACCTTTTATACAAATGAAAATTGAAAGATAATACTACCAGTTTACCCTTACTAAAGGTACACATGGAGGACACATTTGAAAAAGAATGAAAGTTATACAAGAAGGAAAATCAAATAACAAATGAAGAAATGTTATACTCCAAAACACTGTAAATATATGGGTAAACATATTTTGTATGAATCAATAATATCTAATTTATCAGTTTAAAATATAAGAAAATACTAAAATACCAGGCAACAATATTATATGACTTCAGGGGTATTTTCTGTCTATGTGTTCTGAGACGTGTATTGTTTGAGAAGAAAGTAAGATTATTTAACTTCAGTTTTCTTAAATTAATGTGAAAATTTGTATTTGACAGCAATAAAAGAGTAAAAATAGAGTGTATATCTTCTGAACTAGTAAAGGTAAAAAATGAAGTAAAGAAGAAAAAAGCTTACTTAATTAAGAAAAAAGAAATGAAGGAAGGAGAGGAAGGAATAAAAAAAGAAGCGAAGGAGGGAGGAAAAGAGGGAAAAGAGAGGAAGAAAGGAGAAAATATAAAACCTACAAAAATATAGACAAATAGTAAACAAAAAATTAAAAGACAGAAATAGATGTACATATTATCAATAATTTGTGTACCAAACTCTACAGTTAAAAATAAGATTTTTAAAATCAGACTTTGTGTCTAAAAATTGCTTTAGAAGGCCATTATTTAGACATGTTTTAAATAAGATGACTTGGAAAGTTTTGAAAGAAAAAAAATCTTATAAAGTTATGTCTGACAAACACAAACCAAACAAGAAAGAAATTGATATGTCTATGTCATTATTACGAAACAAGCTTTAAACCATGTAGGTTGCTGCAACAGAAATAAGTAAAGCCTGTTAAAAGGGAAAAGGGAGGAGCTCCTTATTCTTCTCAGAAAGGTTAGGAAAGCACTGAAGTAAGTTTGAGAGGAAAAAAGAAAATAAACATTTACCTAATGTTTTTTGAGCAGCTGCTGAATCCTAACCTGAACCTAGGAGATTTATTTGCATTCTCTCCATTTAATCCTCATGACAACTCCACAATATGAATTATTAGCTCCAGGTTAAGCAACTTTTCTAAAGGCTTATGTGTGGTTGTGCAGAAAATTAAATCCAATTCTGTTGAACGAGAAAACTCTCCACATGAAAACTCAGAGCCTTAAGTATTTGTGTGTAGGGTTGACAGACAAAATGCAGGATACTCAGTTAAATTTGAAATTCGGGCAAACAACGAATGATTATTTTGTATAAGTACCCCATGCAATATTTGGAACAAAGTTGTACTAAAAAAATATTTACCATTTATGTGAAATTCAAATTTTACTGGGAGTCCTATGTTTTCATTTTCTAAATCTGGCAAGTCTGTATAGGAAGTGAAATAGAACGGAGGACAGAATTGAGCTGAGATCTAGTGGTGCTTCTCAAAGGCCTTTCCTTGGGTCATGAAGCAAGTCTCCCTCCATTCCTCTCCCAATAACCCACTCGAACATTGAAGTGAGAAATATATGGATGACCATTTATCTATTATGATTTATATTTCCTTTTATTAATAGTTATTACTATTTTCATAAATGAATATACAGTGAGGTACTGGAGAAAGAAAGAGACTTAGGAAAAATAATCATACATTTTCTTCTACATTCCATTTGAAGCATTTGGAAGAATTTTCTTTGCCAAATCACGATGAATCGTAAGATGTATTGTCTCAAGGTTTGCAAATGGAACTACTAGGAGTATGTTCACTATAACAATGTCCTACCACAATGACATAGTTCCATGCACAAGGGGTATATGCTCACTTTTCAGCATAAGCTAAGGATGCAAATCCTGTCTAGACTGGAAGAATAAAGCATCCACACTCAGGTGAATCAGACACCATTTCCTGGGGCAGGTGAGTTTACCAGGCTGGTGGTAGGAGAAAAATATAGGTTGGACTCTTCAAAAAGAGAATATTGTTTAGTGGCAATATTAAAGTTTTGAAGATTTGAAGATCTGGCTTCAAATTTCATCTTACATATATAATATACTTGTGATATTTTTGGGATATCTTTCATATTTATCCACAGAAATATGTAGAAGCTGGGTATATGGTATAAATGAATGTAAACATTATATGACTAGGAGATTGTTTTAATTAATTTGCATGAAAAATATCATTGTGTGTTTTTTGACTATGAACATGAAATCATAAGAAGGTACTTGTACCGTTACATGTTACCTATACATGTTTGTATTTGTTTTCTATATTCAGAGAAAAGGAGATTTTAGTTGAAAATTCCTTTTGACTGAGATCAGTGGCATAGCATGTGGTAGGAGAGGTTCAGAGTAAATCTCTCTCATGATATGCCTTACTTCATCTTTCTACCGTCAAGCTACAGTGGAGACAATTTGACACGGTGGTGGTAGATGATCTTGGTTTTCGGGTGGCGTTATTATGCTACGCTTTGCTGAAAGAGGAATATATAAAAAGGAAATTAGCATGCTGAGGCTCAATATGCAATGCCCTCCAACACTATGGTACTGAATTCTAATTTCCACATTTAGCCTCTAATTCTAAGTTTTCAAAAAATTTAAATGTAACAAAATACACTCTGCACTAAATTCAATCTGATCACATCATTTTAGTTTGATGATTCAGAAGATGATCCAAAGATCTTATGCCCCAGAGCACCAGTTGAATAATTTATAATAATTGAGGATAGGGTATAGTGGAAAAAGTGTGAGTTTCAGCACTAGTTCTACCACAATATCTGGATGACCGAGGACAAATAGTTCAGCATCTCTGAGCTTCAGTTTAGCAAACAAGAGTTATCCTTTAAGGAATAATGAAAGGAAGGGCCAAGCATGGTGCCTGATAGACTGAAGGACAGAAAAACTATTCAATAAACACTTTGGCCTCACAAGATCCAGTTGTCACTATACAGATGGAAAAAGCAAATGGCATGAGGCACCATGCTGATTCTCTGTTGTGTTTGGAAATAAGTGTTTTTAAAAATTATAAATAAATTAATAAATCCCTGAAAAACCAAAACCTCACAACATGTCTATTTGTTCATATTTATTTTATATTTATTACACATATTTACTTATTCAAAGCAACTTTAAATGTGTTAAACACATTTTTAAAAACCCAAGTTCATTTGGGATCTTTGTTTACTTATCATCTAGATAAAAAGTTTGCAAACTATAGCCAAAGGGCCCAATTCCACCTGCCACCTGATTTTATAAATAAAGTTTTATTGGATCATAACTACACCTATTTGTTTACATATGATCTATGGCCACTCTTTCACTACATTGCCAGTTGGGTAGTCCTACTAGAAACTTTATGGCCCATAGAACCAAAAATATTTACTATCTGATTCTTCATAGAAAAAAAATTGCCAATCCCTGATTCTAGATCAAAGTATGTTTTCTATCGTAAGTAAAGTCAAAGGCAAGCCATTTCAACAGACAGGCAGGAATTCATTCACATGCTCTAATGGTGCCCAAAGCACAGCTCAATAAGGTGACAGCACACCAGACTGGGAGTTTTGGTGGTTAAAAGTCAGATAGATCTGGCTTCAAATCCCACCTTATGTAGATAATATACATGTGAGATTCTCAGAAGCATCGAAGTTTATCTTGATGTAGGATACAGAAACTGCTCAACAAATGTTCAGTGTCTCAACACTTCTCCACCTTCCATAATTCAAATATATATCAGCTTTGCTCCTACATTTTCTTTCATTTCAGATGTGAGAAAGAAAAAAAAAGAGAGCAGCTCAAGTAAGATCACTCTAAGGCCATGACAAAGTGGTACAAAACAAGTCTACTGCACACTTTTGTCTAAGCACAGACAAAAACAAGGTCATTGGGCCACTCATAAAATACCAAACACCCCCTTTTCTGGTTAAAATTGGTGACTGACATTTCTTTACGTAACCATAAATTTGTCCCTGCCTTCTGACAGCAAAGAGCATCCAATACATAGCAAATCCCCACATTCCCTAGTCACCCAACCAAAACCCAAATTCTTCCATAGATTGTTTCTAACACTCTCTTGCTGAGTTGCCCCAAGATTCCCCATGGCGTGTGTTTCCCCTCCCTACAGTGAGTCATAGGCCCTACACACACGTTCTCGTGGCCTTTGGCTGAAAGTTGTTGATTGATGGAATAGTGAGATAGGATAGTTTGGTTTGATTTATAGATGTTATAAAAACTAAAAACTGTACAATGGTGGTAGTGGGGAAGAAGGGTAATAATTTTGAATAATACTCTGTCCTAGGCATTTTTCACACATTATTACTTTCGATTCTCACAATTTTCATTTGAGTTAGATATCACTCTCTTCCTTTTACTTACACAAGAATCTGAGGCTTGTTGAAGCTGACCAAGGCCATGCATCTGGAATATGGCAGATTAGCTTGTTTCTTTAAAGTACACAATAGCAGACAGAATCATCACTGTTTTTATAAAGAAAATCTAGGAAATAAGGAATAAAATTACTAGCCTGTATATCCCCCTGTGGCATAAACCTCCTGTATGTATCCCATGCTGCCAGGCATGGTGGCCAGGATGCACAGGTTATCTCTGAATATTCCTCCCTCTCTTAAACTTAAGCCCTCAGAGCAGCTGTTAGTTATGTCCTTGGTATTGGCACTTACTATACAAGATTAGGATACAAGATGAGAGATAACCAGGCTCCTAACCTCTAGCCTTCATAATCACCTAAAGAGATGAATCAAATCCCTGGTGCCCAGAGCCTCTTCTCAGACCACTGGATTAGAATTTGTGGAGAGACCTTGAAACTGGTGCTGATAAGTGGTTCAGGTGATTCTGAAACAAACCCCCTTTGAGAATCACTGCCTTAATGTGCCTGAGTGTCAATTTCTTTGTTGTTTATCCAAATGCCATCTGTACACTGAGACTCAGTGAAGAGTCAACCTTCTGATCTCTCCACCTTCACTGACCTCCCTCCTTCCTAAACCACCTCAGCATTCAGGGTCCACATCCATAACTCATGCCTGAGCGTGGAGGCTGCTGAGACACACTTAGAGCTTGAAGTCAAAATTCACTCTCCTGACTGGCTAGGTGACCTTGAGCCTTGACTTTTCCATTTGCATTATAAGGCTTTAAAGTTTTTAAAATAAACTTTAATGGTATTAGGACATATTCTAGAAAACTAGCTACAAAACTAACTACCCACTCAGTCATTTGGTTAATGATATTTACTCAATGTTCTTTTTCCATTTATGCTAACAAAGATTATCTAATCACTCTGTTTTTCTGCAAATGTCTCCAAATTGGCCTGTTTTAGATCTGTTACCGTGAAGAAAATTTGACACTTAACTTGTAATTTCTCCTAATTAAATATCTGGGGAAAAAACAGTAAAATAAGAATTATTACTTCTACCTTCTCTTTATAAATCATAAAGCATTTTACAAGTATAGAATTTCAGAAAGTCTTCTGATCTTGGCATTAGTTTTACATATATAAATTGTGTCCTTCTAACTAATTATAGCCTCCTGGAATGCATGGGTTATAAAAATATCTTTGAATTTCTCTCTCTCTCACTCTCTATCTATCTACGGTATTATAAAGAGTAAATTAGGTAAAATAATTTCTATTTTACTATTAAAATTTTTTCCAGAAAACTCAATTAAGGAAGCCTATATATGTTTGTGTCAAATTTACTGCATCTGAAATGAGTATGAAGGGTGACTGGGAGAGGAGAGAGAGAGTAGGCATCAAATTAATGTGACAATTGTTTAACTTCTTAAAAAATTATTGCATCTCATATCTAAATCTCTAAGCAAGGCCATCACATAGCATAAAGACTGGATCCTGTTCTACAAGGAGATTACAACCAAATAATAACATTAAACCTTAACTAAAATTATCTTTGTAAGGCAGCATATGATGTGTTATATGAGTGCCATTATACTAAATGACATAGAGAAATGAGAACTATTCCATATGTGCACATCAATGGTCCTTGTACTGGGTTGAATGACAAGTTGCACTGAGGAAAATGAGGTGGTTGAATGCCAGGCATAGATCATAACATTCCAAAGAAGGGAACAGACAATATATGTTTTCAGGAGCAACAGGTGAAGGATAGTGGGAAGTAATGCATGAAAAGCACATAGCAGGGTACTCTTAGACAAGATTCCAATATGGATGCTCCTCAATTTTCAACAGGGTTTTGTCTTTATAAACTCACTGTAAGTTGAAAATACCATTAAGTTGAAAGTGTATTTAACATACGTAACCTACCAAACATCATAGCTTAACCTCAACTACTTTAAACATGCTTAGAACACTTACATTAGCCTACAGTTGGACAAAACCATCTAACACAAAGCTATTTTATAATAACATTATTATAAATGATTTTTAAGCAAAAGTCAAGATTCAGAGTCTGTTTTCTACTGAGTGAGTATTGCTTTGACACTATTATAAAGTTGCAAACTTGTAAGTCAATCATTGTTTAAATGGGGGTTGTCTGTACTTTCAAACCAGAGGTGACTGGAGGCCAAGGTATATGGGTAACTTATTTTTTCCTGTGACTCCAAGAACAGATGCAAGAATTTATGTTTAAGCAAAAGAACAAATACTATATGCTTTCACTTATACAAGGGACCTAAAATTGTCAAATTTATAGAGACTGAAAGTAGAATAGAGATAACCAAGGGATAACCGCCACACAGTGACAACATGACATGTTGGCTTGTCAATATACATTTTTTAATTCAAACACTATGGAAGTGTTTAAAGAGAAAGGATAGCTGAGTGACAGAAAGATGGCTAACTAGAAGCCCCTAGCACATGTCCTCACCACAAAGACAGACAAAACAATGAATACATAACTACATTTTAATAAAAATAGCTAGAGCAGAGTGGCAGAGTTCCTTAAAGAAGTAACAGAAACCTGAATGAACACAGAAACTTAGGATACCCACATAGAGAACAGAAGGAAACACAGGGACTCCTACATCCCATCCCCCAGCCAGGGACTCCTACATCCCATCCCCCAGCCAGGATCAGCTGGGAGTGAGGAGGAATTTCTCCCATTGTCAGAAAGGTGAGCAAAAGAACCCTAGCCAACCTCATCCACACTTTGAACATCTACAGACCTTGCCAGTGGGTCTCTACCGTCCTCACAGCATTAAGTCGAGCTGAGGGAGCTGCCTGGAGTCCACACAGCTATGCTCCTAGCAAAGAAGGAGTGGACACAGTGCCCCACCCCCGGTGGCCTGCATGGCTACTGTTATGCCATTTCGGAACTGGAACTATGTTAGAGTGTGTCTTGCTCCAGGGGCATGGAGCTATGGGGGCCCCTTCATCCCTGAAGTTAAGCTGCCATGGAACCACCCCCATTCTGTGGCCTGATATCCACAAGCTGAGCTGTGAGCAACTGTTACACCCTTCCCTGGAGGCCAAGTGACAGTGGAACCACTCGACCTGCTCCTCCTTCTGCCCTCTCGTCTGGAGCTAAAGCTGAAGCTGTGCAATCCCCACTGGGGAAACCCTGCTTTGGCAGAACAGCTCCATATACATCTCCCAGTAGTGGCTGTGCCCTGCCTTCAGGGCCCTAAGCTGACGCTGCACACTGCCTGCTGGGAAAATGGTGCCTTAGTGGAATTCCTTTATCTACCCTTCCCAGTCACTGAGCTCTACCCTTAGGGTAGAGCTGTAGTTTGGGTATTTGACCCTCTGAGCCTATGTTGAAATTTGATCCCCAATGTTGGAATCCAGGCCAAACAGGAGGTGCTAAGGTTATGGGGGTGGATCCCTCATGAACGGCTTGGTGCTGTCCTCATGGTAATAAGTGAATTCTTGCTCTATTAATTCCCATGAGAATTTCTCTGAGAGCTGGTTGTTAAAAAGAGCCTGGGACCTTCCCCATCTCTCTTGCTTCCTCTCTTGCCATGTGATCTGCACACCTGCCATGTTTCTTGTACAGGCTGCAGAACCATGAGCTAAATAAACCAGTCTTCTTTATAAACTACCCAGCCTCAATATTCCTTCACTGCAACACAAATGGACTAAGACAGGGCCTGAGCTGGAGCTGCACGCTCCCTGCTAGGAAAACAGTTCTTCAGCAGAACAGCTCCATCTACCTCTCCAGTTGTTGCTGTGCCCTGCCCCTTGGGACCTGAGCTCAAGTTGCACAGTCTTTCCTGAGGAAATGGCGACTTGGTGGAGTTGCTTAATCTACTTCTCCCGGTTGCTGCTGCACCATGCCCCGAGGGGCCTAAGCCAAGGCTGTGCACTGCCTCCCAAGGAAAGAGTGCCCTGGCAGAGCTGCTCCAAAACCCCTCCCAGTCGCTGCTGCACCTGTCCCACAGGACCAATACTGAAGTTGCACACTGCCTCTCATCCCTTCTGATTACTATTGTGCCCTGACACAGGTTTCAGAGCTGAAACAATGCCAGATATCCCAGGAAAACAGTACCTTGGCTGCCCAGGGCAGTCATACCTCACCAAAGTCTAAGTCGAACCAACAACCTGCCTCCCAGGAAATGGTGCCTTGACTGTCTGAAGTGGTCATACACTGCAGTACCTAAGCCGAAACAGTGCCCTATATCCCAAGGAAATGGTGCCTGAGTCATCTAGACTAGTCTTGCCCTCCAGGACTGGCTGAAGTGGCACTTTGCCCTTGGGAACTCTGTGCCTTTACAGACTTCAAGCTAAGAGGCTGCACATTTAAGGCTGAATTGACAAGATACCCTATATCCAAGAAAAACAGCTGAGACACCCCATCCTACAGGCAAAATAACTCTAGTATTCTGCTTCCCTGGAGTTGGACTAGTCCGCTAGAGTCTGAACTACTGAGATACCTCTCTTCAGAGGGAGTAGAGTCATTGGTGTGCTGCTTCATGCTCCTGCAGGGCCCTAACAGCTGTGCCCCACCATTCTGGGGTACTTGCTGCCACTGTACCTGCTCTCACAGAGACTGGGATGCTGCTAAGCCCCACCATCCCAGGGTCTAGACTCACCACTACAAGGTGCTTCATCCCCTTTGTCCCGAGTTGCCACTGAGGCCTATTGGCTCAGTTTACAGAAATACAGCCATACCTGACTCCTCTAGACCATATAGCTAAGGCAATCCTAAGCAAAAAGAACAAAGGTGGAGGCATCAAGCTACCTGACTTCAAACTATACTACAAGGCTACAGCAACCAAAACAGCATGGTACTGGTACCAAAACAGATATATAGACCAATGGAACAGAACAGAGGCCTCAGAAAGAATGCCACACATCTACAACCATCTGATCTTCGACAAACCTAACAAAAACAAGCAATGAGGAAAGGATTCCCTATTTAATAAATGGTGTAGGGAAAACTGGCTAGCCATATGCAGAAAACTGAAACTGGACCCCTTCCTTATACCTTATACAAAAATTAACTTTTGTATAAGATGGATTAAAGACATAAATGTAAAACCTAAAACCATAAAAACCCTAGAAGAAAACCTAGGCAATACCATTCAGGTCATAGGCATGGGCAAAGGCTTCATGACTAAAACACCAAAAGCAATGGCAACAAAAGCCAAAATTGACAAATGAGATCTAATTAAACTAAAGAACTTCTGCACAGCAAAAAAAAATAAAAATAAAAAAATAAAAAAATAAAAAAAAAAAAATTTGCAATCTACAAGGAACACAAACAAATTTACAAGAAAAAGACAACTCCATCAAAAAGTGGGCAAAGGATACGAACAGACACTTCTCAAAAGAAGACATTTATGTGGCCAACAAACATGAAAAAAAGTTCATCATCATGGGTCATTAGAGAAATGCAAATCAAAACCATAATGAGATACCATCCCATGCCAGTTAGACTAGTGATCATTAAAAAGCCAGGAAACAACAGATGTTGGAGAGGATGGTGAGAAATAGGTACGCTTTTACACTGTTGGTAGGAGTGTAAATTATTTCAACCATTGTAGAAGACAGTATGGTGATTCCTCAAGGATCTAGAACCAGAAATACCATTTGACCCAGCAATCTTATTACTGGGTATATACCCAAAGGATTATAAGTCATTCTACTATAAAGACACAGGCACACGCATATTTATTGCAGCACTATTCACAATAGCAAAACTTGGATCCAACCCAAATGCCCATAAATGGTAGACTGGATAAAGAAAATGTGGCACATATACACCATGGAATACTATGCAGCCATAAAAAAGGATGAGTTCATGTTTTTTGCAGGGACATGGATAAAGCTGGAAGCCATCATTCTCAGCAAATTAACACAGGAACACAAAACCAAACACTGCATGTTCTCACTCATAAGTGGGAGTTGAAAATGAGAACACATGGACACAGGGAGGGGAATATCACACACTGGGGGCTGTTGGGGGATGGGGAGCTGGGGGAGGGATAGCATTAGGAGAAATACCTAATGTACATAACAGGTTGATGGGTGCAGCAAACCACCATGGCACGTGTATACCTATGTAACAAACCTGCATGTTCTGCACATGTATCCCAGAACTTAAGATGTAATAAAAAAAGAAAAGAAAGAAAAACAGCATGCAATTCAGCCCACCAAAAAAAAAAAAAGTCAAAGACAGGCAGAATTCTTAAAACACCAATAAAAAATATAAAGTCACTCTAAGGGAATCCCCATTAGATTAACAGCACATTTCTTAAGAGAAAGCTAACAGGCCAAGAGAGAATGGGATGATATATTCAAAATGTTAAAGGGGGAAAAAAAAACTCCACTCAAGACTACACCCAGAAAAGGTATCTTTCAGAAATGAGAGATAAAACCATCTTTCCCAGACAAACAAAAACTAAGGGAATTTATTATACTCACCAGCCTTACCAAAACATGCGCATGGGAGTCCTACATCTAGAAGCAAAACGACAATCATCATGAAAACATGCAAAATATAAAACTAACTGGTAGAGCAGATACACAAAGGAGAAACAGAAAATAATCAAACCTTATACTACAGAAAATCATCAAACCACAATAATAAACAATAAGAGAGGAAGAAAAGAACAAAGAATATACAAACCTACAAGAAAACAATTAACGAAATAACAGGAGTAAGTCTTCACCTATAAATAATAAACTTGAATGTAAATGGATTAAATTCTCCACCTAATCGATATAGACTGACTTGAACCAGGGAGGCAGAGGTTGCAGTGAGCCAAGATGGCGCCACGGCACTCCAGCCTGGGTGACAGAGTGAGACTCCATCTCAAAAAAACAAAGCAAAACAACAACAAAAAAACAACAGCAACAACAACAACAAAAAAAAAAAACAAAAAAAGATATAGACTGGATAACTAGGTGAAAAAAAAAAGACCCAACTATATTCTGTTCACAATAAACTTACTTCACCTATAATAGTACAGATAGACTAGAAGTAAAGAGATGGAAAAAGACATTCCATGTAAAGAGAAACCAAAATTGAGCAGGAGTAACTATACTTACGCAGATAAAAGAGGTTTTAATCAAACCTCTAAAAAGATACAAACAAGGTCATCCTATAATGATAAAAAGGATCAATTCATAAAGAGAACATACTAATTGTAAATATGTATGCCCCAACACCAGAGCACACAGATACATGAAACAAACGTTATTGAATCTAAAGGGAGAGATAGACTACAATACAGTAATCACAGGAGACTTCAACACTTTGTTCTCAGCATGGGCAGATGATATAGAGAGAAAATAAACAAAGAAATTTGGATTTAAGCTGCACTTTGGATGAAATAGACCTAACTGATATTTACAGAACATTTCATCTAGCAGCTACAGAATACGTTTTTTTTTTTTTTCCATCAACACATGAAACATTCTTCAGGACAGGTTACATGTTAGGCCACAAAACAATCCTCAACACATTTAAAAGAACTGAAATAATATCAAATATATTTTCTTACCACGATGAAATAATCTAGAAATAAATAACAAGAGTGTATTAGGCTGTTCTTGTATTGCTATAAAAAATACCTGAGACTTGGTAATTTATAAGAAAAGAGGTTTCTTTGGCTCATGGCTCTGCAGGCTGTACAGGAAGCACAGTGCCAGTATCTGCTTCTGGGGAGACCTCAGGAAGATTTTACTCATTGTGGAAGGTGAAGTGGGAGCAGGCACATCACACTGTAAAAACAGGAGAAAGGATGGGTGAAGTGCTACACACTTAAATGAGTGGATCTTGTGAAAGCTCTCTCACTACCAGGTGGACAGCACCAAGCCGTGAGAGATCTGCTCCCATGACCCAAACACCTCCCACCAGGTCTCACCTCTAACACTAGGATTTACATCTCAACATGAGATTCAGAGGGGACATCCAAAGTATATTACAAGAGAAACGGTCAAAACTGTAAAAATGCATGGAAATTTTAAAAAAATGCTCCTGAATGACCAATTGGTCATGAAGAAATTAAGAAGGATATTTTAAAATGTCTTGAAATAAATGAAAATAGAAACCTAAATTCCAAAATGTATGGAGTACAGCAGAAGCAGTATTAAGAGAGAAGTTTATAACAATAATGGCTACATCAGAAAAGTAGAAAGATTTCAAATAAACAATGTAACAATGTATCGCTAGGGACTAGAAAAACAAAAACAAAACAAACCCCAAATTAGTAGAAGGAAAGAAATAATAACGATTAGAGCAGAAATAAATGAAATTGAAACTGAAAATACAAAAGAGAAATAAAATAAAAACTTATCTGTTTGAAAATATAAACGAAACTGACAAATGATTACCTAAACTAACCAAGAATAAAAGAGAAAATACCCAAATAAATAAAATCAGAAAGGAGAAGAGACTGTACAATTAATAGCGCAGAAATTTAAAATAAAAAAAGAATCACTGAAGACTACCATGAACAACTGTACACCAACAAGTTGGAAAACCTAGCAAAAATGGATAAATTCATGGATACGTATATCCTACCAA